TAACAGAAGCTGCCCAAGCACACGCCCGGCAGTGACAGAGCTCACTGAAGGCTAATTTCCCCTTGGCATGGAACTCCACAGCGCCACAAATACACCGACCAGTTTGGTCGATTACAAAATCATCCCCGATCTCATTGGCGAAAGGAGCAGGAGTCGTAGCCATCAAAGCACTGGTGCTCTGTGTTTGAGAAGCCGGGGCGAAAGCGGCGGCAGAGGCGACGAGGGAGGAAACAATAGTGGTCTTCATGGAGAAATCGCATATACAAGCAAACAAAAATTGCGTATCAACAGAGGCCGTCAAGCCAAGAGAAAGCTACGGTGGCTGCCAAAGATCAGCGCATGCGATGCTGCGGGGTGCAATCGCATGTTTCTGCTCTGAGAACCTTTGCAGTATCCTTGACGTTCTGGATAATACTGCAGGTATGGTATCTTCGGCAGCTCTTCGGCCAACATCCAACAATCACAAATTTGTGAGGTTAGATCTCAAGAAAAAATTGAGCCTTCAGCAAAACTTTTGGCCGAAACCTTCCGCTTTAATAATAATTAATAAAAAAAGAAATCGAAGCAAACAATTGATTACTTATGGAGTGGTTCACCGCGAATGGCAAAAGAGCTTGAGCCGAGCTGTTCGGAATGTACCGGTACTACTGGTATTAAATAGTACCTGTACGGTACCGCTGCAGTCTGTACGTGTACGTACGGTCCACCATGTCATACTAGTACTAGTAGTGCCGTATGGCTGTACGGTACAAACTCTACACACCGTCCACACCCAGTCCACTTTTTTAAAACTCGCAACGAACCCAATTCCAGTTGACAAGCCAAAGATCCAGCAAAAATGGCGAGAAGAAAAAAATATCCATGATGGATGGATGCTCTCTTCCTGCAAACAAACGACGATCGCATATTTCCTTCTGCAGAGAAGACAATGCGACACTCATAAAGAATAGAAGAACTAATAGTCAGTATCATGAAGTTTCAAGTTGGACTGATCCTCTTGACATCCCTCGCGGCTGTCGGCTCTGCCAAGGAGTTCTTCAACCGCGAGATTTACAAAGACAAGACAGGTCTTCTTGGGCGCCGTATTCATCACACTTACGAGGCGCCGGAGGACAGAGACGAGGATAGACGCCGTGGCCTCAAGGGCGGTTCGCCACCGGTTCATGTGATTGGCGTGGAAATATCAGAACTGGACTACAAGACAGGAAAAGACAAAGTTGTCGTTGTCAATGGACTTGGCAAAATGATCCATGGTCGGTGTTCCCAATGCATGACGCAGGTATTCCAAAAGCCACAGGGAGAGAATTACGTAGCGCTATTCCCACCCACCTTTCGGATTGGTGGCGACGATTCGTTGGAGCAGAAACTTCCTGACTACTATCTTCCTCGAATGCACACCAACTACGAAAACCGAGCGAGAGACGCAACTGACTCGCTACCAAAATTCAAGACGTTTCCTCCTGACAATGAAGTGAACGCGGATGGCAGCTTGAAGAATGTAGAATGATGGGTATGTCCATCGTTTGAAATGCCTCGATGGCTTGCCAACCGACGTCGCTCGTCCGGATTGCAATGAGTGTTTTTCTTTTGAAAGTGAAGGTATCCACAACTTGCGAATGACAAATTGCATTGCGAGGGGGCTGGCATCTCTTAATGACGACATGTCCGAGGATCATTGCTCATTGTCTTGACGTGTGAATCAACAACCGACACGTGTTCTTGCAAAGTCTGTCCAGAAATCGGAACTGCGATGCGGAAAGCTTGATGAGAGAAGAGCTGGACGAGATTGGAAGCAACTAAAAAAACCTGAAGATCCTGAGTTGCGCACCAGTGAGAGACAGAGGGGCGGGCAGATTGAGTTCACAGAGCATGATGAGGCAGCAGTAGAGAAGTAGACTACTAGCTATTACCGGTACCCGTACCGGTATGCACGATTTTTGCAAACTCAAAGCTCCGGATACACAGCTTCTGCCGGCTTATTTATTAACAAGATGAAACTTTCAAGACGTCTTGTGTCCTGATGAAGGTTTCCCTGAAAACCTGAATTGTCTCCTGTTTAGAATATAGTTGGCTTTGGTAAGTTGTATTCCACCACCATGGACTCCTTTGAGGAGTGGGTAAAGACCGCTGATTATCCATGCTTTCGAGAATGGGGGGAGAAAGCGGTAGCGCTAGGCGCATCCTGGGATTCTTTCCGCCGAGAGGACAAGAATGCCATAGTAGAGGATCTCATCACTGGAGGCATCCCCATACTAACTGCTCGAGATATGGTAGCCATAGCAACCAAGGAAGTCGACAAGAGCAAATCGCCGATGGCTATCTTCTGGGATCTGGAAAATATGCCTGTGCCTACAGATACGAGTGGGCGGGACATTACGACCAGTCTCAAATCCATCCTCGCGCCACATGGGGATCTTATTCAGTTTCGCGGCTATGCAAGTATTGGGTTGAATAATATCCCCCAAGAGAAGAGGTCCGATCTGCAGCTATCAGGTATGACGAACTGCTTTTATGTGTTGTGGAGGGATCATCACGCCACCGAACTTACTAACGAGTCGTACACTCAGGATGTCACCTGGTCGATTGCCCACATCATGGCAGGAAAGAAGTTGCGGACAAGATGATCATAGTCGACGCTATGCACTTTGCCTTTCAGCACCCGGAATGCGCCACGCTTTGCTTCATAACTGGAGACGTGGACTATGCATACCTCCTGGCAACTCTCCAACGCCCTCAATGGAGGACCATTGTTATTTCTCGAGGGACAATGCAGTCCATGTTACATGTCAACTCCGATATGAAGATGCGTTGGGAAACAGACATACTTCAGCCAATATATGGCCGAATCACACCTGAAACGCAGTCAGTGGAGGAATCGTCACAATCAAAGGCCAGTTTCACGAACGCGTGGGACAAACCATTTCGTCCTCTGCCTGCAGACGAGGCATGGAAAGACGACGTCGAGCTCTTACACACTGTCCTCAAGGCGGCGAGCCAAAAGAGTGGTACCCTGGCACCCTTGAAGTCGGCAATCGGTATTGCACTGCGCAGCACCAACCCAGGTCGATTTCCTCAACGAATTTCCATTCAAAATTTCCTCGCGAGGGCCATCGACGAGGGTGTCGTCATTGAGAATGGCGACGGGGCGCTGAAGACTCTTTGTCTCCCACTACATGCTGGTCATCCGACTACGATACCGGCTCTATCCTTGTCGAAGAAGCTGCCCTCTGGGCTTCAAAGTTTTCCGCCAAAGGTACTGGATGCAGCTTCAAAGGCACCCTTCATTGTTCTGCTTCGCAAGATGCATTGCCCTCCAAACAAGACGCCCCCTAGTAAAGCATTCATTCAGTCTTCTCCTGACTGGCTGTTTTACATGTTTCCAACTCAAGCCACAGCTCTAGATGCAGCCTCCGATCATCGCTGGTTGAGTCAGGGCACATTCATTGATATTCGTCAGATCCCTCCCCCATTGATGCAAGAAATCACCATTCCTGATCAGCATGCCACAACTTCTCGGTCTGGTAATGGTGCAACTATGAGGAAGTGTGGCCCTTGTGGCGCTATGGCTCCACAGTCTGACGGTTTCTTCTCCGACTGTGGTACGCAGTTCTTTTGCTCTGGTGAATGTCGAGACTGGATCCACGAGGACGCCGGAACTAAGGAGAGAGGTGTGGATCTAGTGGTTGAGACCCTAGAGTTCTTGGCAAATTGTGATGATCTCTACTGCCAGATGACAATGTTGGGAAAGCTCTTGACACAGCGGTACCCATCACTCTGCACATCGAGGCGGCTTACCAAACTATGGATATTGCATGCAGAGAACTCGAAGAGAGTTTTTACCTACAAGGTTACAAAACAAAAATTTGCAGCACTTCCTCGCTTTCGAAAGCTTATGTTGGAGTGCGGCCAAGACGAGAAAATCAGCACTGCCGTCGAGGAGGAGTTCGTCTACAATTTGCTATGGGAGGGGACTGGTTCGTACATTGATCGCAAGATTGTCAACCGGCGATTGCAGGAAAGCTTTGCTTCCATGCAAAAGCCTACATTTAGGCAACAGGTATTTGCCAATGCCAAAGCTAAGGACCGCTTCTTTCTTGCGAAAGGACCATTGAACCAAACCGTGGGGCTGTCTAAAGCAGCTGCTGAAGCTGGATTGGAGACGTCCTCAGCTCCTACTAGCCCAGTGAAACTGGCAAGCACCGAGAGCGGAGCAAAGTCTCCAGATGAGGTCTTTGATCATGATTCGGACTCGAGCGACGACGAACCTGATCTTTTGCGGCTCGTTGCTTCAAGGAAATAGTCCGAAACTTCCCTCTGAGTGGGAAATCCTAACTGTGTTACAAACTCATTTTAGGCAGGTTGTCAATCCTGATCTCACCTGTAGCGGCAATTCTTAGATGACTGTGCCAGTGATATGCCAGTGTTGCTTTGGCTGAATCCGTATCCTAGAGCCTACTAGAGGGAGCCTCGAAGAGTACTAGTACTGTACTGCACGAACTCATACGATTTTAGCAAAAAGTGACTGAACTAAGCAAGTTTACTCACAAACTGCGGAATCGCTAAAACACAGGCTTTACTCTGAGTGGTAACTTTTCGGTTGTTTGACTTTTTCATCCCCCTTGGGAATCATCAGTGCTTGGGCTATTGTGGTACTTATGAAATCGAGGTTTATGTGGGCATGCTCCGTATATTTCGTTGCAGGAGTTGATCAGCCAGTACGAACCACGTATGGCTACAAGAATAGTCAAGCCGACTCGGAAGCGAGGAGCTTGGAACGCATTGCCACAAGGATTTGCAAAGATACTGTAATAAGGGTACGTACAAAGATGGATTTGCTTGAATGTTCCTGATCCTAAAGCAAGATGGTACTAGTACTGGTACTTGAATTGAAATCCGCAATCGTCGTTGTGGGGAACACTTACATGTATTACTTGCTTCGAAAGTCGAAAGAGCTGTCATGGGGAATGTTGGTGTTTTTCTCGGAAGGGTTGGCTGAGTGAGCCAGTCACAGAATGTGTCACACATACTCCGTTCTTTGAAAAATTGAAACATGACTCAATCAATTAAAGGACCTTGCTCCAAGGCTCCCACGTTTTACAGCTCCTTCCTCTTCAAACTCCAAACTAAGGTTTGCTGTTGAGTTTGCCGAAGGGATGAATGATGCGATTGAAGGCCCAGCGAAGGAAAGCAAGAGAGTTTGGCGTTTGTCATTAGCTTTCTATCTGCACCGTAGAAGGATTCCTGTCCACCGTCACAAAAAGCAGCAGCTGCATCACAAAACGAAACATCACAAAAGCAAGGAGCTAAGCTCTACCAGGAAAAGAAAAAAATCATCAACCATGAACAAGTCAGTGCGCATTTCGGTTCCTCCCAAGAAAGATGAGAATCGCGGTCCATCGGGAATGGAAGATGAAGAAACTGGATTCAGCAAAGATTTGACGACCACCAGCAACTCTAGTGACGACGAAGATATGCTGTCAAGGAGGTATTCCGTCAATAAGTCCACCAACAGTCATCTCCACATGCTGACCACCTATCGAGTTGGAGAAAGCAAAGTGGAGAAGATGGCCACGAAAATCCAGAAACGGCTAGATGAGCGGGTTCCAGTGACCTTTAAAGCGAGGAAGACATTCCTGAAGCACTGCAGGAAGATCGCTTGTGACAAGGGGTATTCGAAACTCTCGCGTGTCAAGTATAGCGACATTCTGCGATATCATGATGAGGTGCAAGAAGATGCCACGGACTGCGATACGGAGGGTTACATCTCAAGAGCTAGTCACTTTTGTGGCGTCCTAAGCCACACGCAGTGTTTGGCAGAAATTCTGGAGAAGGCCAAGATAGTTGGAGAGAACGTAGGTCTAGAACCCGACGATGACTTTCACTACCAGGACTTCAATTGTAAGTTGCTTCAGAGCCAGATCCAGTTCCTCTACCAACCCATTTTGACCTAACTGCTCTCTTTTCCCGTTCTCCAATGCGTTAGTCTTCCACACTACGTTGGTGTCTCGATGGCCTTTCATGCGCCATGACCTCCTCAAGGCTTTTGGAATCATTCTCATCTTCTACTTCCTTACTCCCATCCTCTTTTGCGTAATCATGAACGATGAAGGTGTCTGTCCCTCAGATTCAAAAGTTCCTGGTTGGGTCAATGCACTCTACTTTGCCAGCACTACGATGTCCACAGTAGGTAAGCCAATCATTTTTGGGAACACCCTACTGATGTGTTGGAAGAAACAAGCCACTAACGTTTTCCCGTTGCCTGTTGATATAATAGGATATGGTGATTTGAGCGTGGAGAAACAAGATTCTTGGAGACTGGCTATCGGCATGTTCTACATGATCGCTGCAATTATCGTGGCCATCACGGCTTTTGCTGCCGCGGCAGACAGCGCCTTGTCCCCCATGAAGAATCTCTACAAGTACATTGCTCATATGACACCCCTAACATATCCCGAGGTGAGTTTGTGAGGATCGAGACAGCTGCGGCCCCATGCGGAAGGTTGACCTAACCTTTCTTCCTGTTTCGTTCAAAACCATAGGGTCCTCTCCAGGAAGGGGAGCTGCTGTATCAACGAGTTCGCAAAGTCACAATTATTTCATTGTTTGACGTTGCGTTCCAGTTCACCGTCTTGAACTTTATTGGTATCTTTGCCAGTCAACTCTTTGTGGAGTATGCCGGTGAGTCCAATCTCTCGATTGACGCAGGGCTTGATTGCGTTTTCAGGGTCTCATGATGCTTTCCTTTGTCCTGCAGAAGTCGATCCCGAGAGGAAGTGGGATTGGGTTGATAGCATGTACTGGGCCGTACAGACATCGACAACAGTGGGCTACGGGGATCTCAGCATGCCAGAGTACATGAGGCCATTTCAGATCATCTATCTTTCGCTTAGTACTTACCTGACTGGTAGTGCATTGGGACGTTTAGCTTCTCTCAAGGAGGAGATTGAGGCGATTCGGCGCCACCATGCCTTCGAAAGGAGGGAAGTGAATAAGCACATGATGCACTACCTGGCTTCAACTGATGACCCTACAAGAGTTGACCAGTACGAGTTTGTGATTGCGTCTCTGCTGAATCTAGGAAAGATTGACGCCGGAGACATTGGGCCAATCATGGACAAGTTTAGATCATTGGCTCGTCATTCGGGACACAGTGGTTTCATCCGTGTTGAAGACATCCCCGACGAGACGGATTCGCCTTTGGATGATGATGAACTGGAGGAAGTTGAAGGAGTTGAAGGAGCCTAGAATGATCCCCGATTGCCAGCCCCCCGTCTGATAGCTTTCCCTTTCAATATTCCTAATTAGTTTTGTGTACGGTATGTGAACGTCGACCCACTTAATGAGTGTTGTGGTCTGTGCAGACAAAAGCTACAACTGACAATGACTTCAACCTAGAAAGAAAGAGTAATCCTAAGATCTGAGTTAATTGCAAGGTTTCACGAATGCTGTGTCGCTAGCGCTACTGAACGGTCGCCTCCTGCTCAATAACGTAGGAGAGATTCCAACGCCTGCTTTGCAAGGAGTCCATATGCAGTATTCTCTGTCTTCAGACAAACTTTGCAGGCATTGACGCCTTGCTTGAAGGTTAGTTCAGCCAAGAACTCCATCTCAGAAACAGTTCTCATACTAAAGTAGACAACTTCCTGACCCTCAGCACCAGGGACGGGACGGCGGGCAATGAAGAAGACATTGTTCTGCAAGAACTTCTTTTGAACGCTTTCGATATCGGCAGCGCCAGGTGGCAAATCGCTGACCGTTCCGTACAATTCAGACCTGTCATCAATTGACTTCCAGCTTTCAATAAAAGCACTACGCTCCATGGCACCATCGGCACTAAAGAGTGCTTCAAAGTTGCAGTTCACAGCAAAGTAAAACACAGTGCCACTGGTCATGTTTTTGATGGCAATCTGCACCTGGGGAGATACTGGCTGTCCCGCCGCAGGAGGAGGAGCCATCATGTTCGCATTGATAACAAGCTCACAGAACGTGCGACCAGTGCTGCCTTTAGCAACAGGTGGGTTGCACACAATCTGCTGCGATGCAGGACTCAAACTGAAACTGTTCTTGTTCAGCTGCAGGAAACAGAGAGAGGTGTGAGACGGCATGCACATACAATGTGTGAATTTCGACGGCAACCCTTATAACCAGCCAGCAAAACAAAAGCGTACCTGAATTGCCAAACTCGCAACTTCGGTAGCACTGCTAATGTTGTTGATCTCAATCTCGAGGCGAATCTTGCGCTTCCTTTGTGTAAAGCCTGCCGAGATCTCAAGTCCGCCACTCTTTTCGGGACCACAAACCTTCTGCAATGGAACTTGTCGTTCTTTGGACTGTGCACCTCCGGCTCCATCGGCAATCCCAAGACCACCCATATCCAAGAGGTCGACCTCACCTTCACCGCCTCCCTCGTAGTCTTCGTCATCATCATCATCGTCGTCATCATCAAATTCATTGGTTTCCCCTGCGCCTCGACGTACGACAAACGATTCTGGAGGCTTGTGGTAGACACTGGACAGGGTGGCAATCTGACCAATCAGTACATTCAACAGGGAAGGGTCTAGCTTGAAGGTATCATCTTCAATGACCGGCTTGTCTCCGAGGACCACCATCTTGGCAGCCTCTGGATCAGTCGACAAGAGACGCCAGTAAATGAACCCTCTGTCCCTAAGATCGGGGTTATCAGATTCCTATCGAACCAAACAAGAAAATAATAGATGAACCAATCATTCGTACACCGACAACAATAGACCTCATCACTCAATCAAAAACCAATTCTTTTGCTCTACTCACCTCTGTTGCCAAATCCAGCACCCTCTGCACCATGTCTTGCGTATCTTCGGGGTTCTTCAAGAAGCATTTGACAGTAGCAGACAATAGTTGTAGCTGCACAGCGGGATCCTCCTCTTCAAATGTTTCCAAGAACGTGTCCAAGAGCTCATCGGCATTATCGATACGTTCGGCATATTCCCCAATGATCCAAATCATGGAAGCCTTGGCCAAAGGTTCATCCAGAGTATCCAAGTTGTCGCACAAGGTGGCAATGATGGATTCGTATCGATTGGGATAGCGACGGAAAATGTCTTTAATGACAATGACAGACTCCTGCACCACATAGTTGACTTTGGTCTGAATGAGCTCCAAGAGGACACCAATGCATCGTTCGGCAGCTCGCTCCAACTTGACAGCGCATCGCCCAATGGCACTGACAGCTTTTCGTACAAAGTCGACATCAACTTCGGTGGCGTATTCCTTCAATTCGAGAAGGACTTGATCAATGTTCTTTTCACTGACCAATTTGATAATGATTTCGAGCTTTTCCATCTTGACATAGATGGGATCATTGTACTTGCAGAAAAATACCTTGATTTCCTGTTCCAGAATTGTGGGGCGTTTTTGCACAATCAAGTTAATATTGCGGAGTGCCACATATTGAATTTCTGGTTCACTGTTCAAGAGAGTGACGAGAGGAGGAGCCAATTTTCGGGTCAATGCCCGAATGACATCGCTGTTTTGACTTCCCATGAGTTCCATATAGCTCAAAATAACCTTGACTGCGGACATGACGACGGCAGAATTAGCGTGCTGCAAACGAGGCGTGACACGTTCGATAATGCCCTCGGCTTCACGTCCATCGGCGGGTGTGTATTTGGCCAAACTATCCAGAATAAAGACTTGTCCCCATTCCGTGCATTCATTGAGCGCCGCGAGCAATTTTTGCAATACACTAGCAGAAATTTTCATGACATCTTTTCCGGATGTTTCGGCAATTTCCGAGAGTGCTGCCACTCCATTGGCCACGACGGATGGGTTACTGTCACTGATGAGATCGTGGAGGATTTCCAAAAATCCACGTTCGGCGACCAATTCGGGTGCAATATCGTAGAGCTTGGCCACACAGACTGCGGCGGTTTTGCGCACGTAGGGATCTTCGTCTCTCAATGCTCGCGAGAGTGGCTCGCAGAGATACTCGGTGATTCGATCCACACGGATACAACCCATGGTTCTGACGGCCAATGCCCGAATCAGCGGATTGGCGTCACTGGCATCTTTGACAAACGTATTGACCGCCAAAAGCGTCAGTTCTGGCTGCGTCTTGGCGTAGTTGATGAGATAGAGATACACCAATTTCTTCAACTCAATGTTGCCCGTCTGAACGCAGTTGAGGACATCGGTAAAGAGCATACTGACGTCTTTGCCGACAGTCATGCTGGCAATCACTTTCTTGACGGCGTCCACTTTCACATTGCGATCGGTAGAATGCAGCTCCATACGAAGCTCGTGCATCTCACCCTTCTTCTGGGTGGTGAAGAACCGGCTGTCGCTGCCCTTGTCATTATTCCCTACAAACTTGGCCATGGTTGAAACTGATAATACTGTGTACTACTAACACAACTAACTATGCCAACGCAATTATGTTATCGAGAGCCGATCACCGACGAAGATCCCTCGAGCGCCGCGCACCCACCACTGAACCAATGCGATTTAGGGTTGAGGCTTCGGAACCAGCTGGTTTGGTGAATTGATGACCTTCAGTCATTTCTGCGATAATGGACGAAAACGAATTGGCCTTGTTGTTAAGATACTATCCATCGGCAAGCAACAACTCCAGAAAGCCTTTCGTGGTTCGGTCCAACAATCCCGTTCCGAGTGATCATTCCACCGTCCAGCTAGCTAGCGAGATCTAGTAGGCAGAGCTAGCTAGCTAGCATCTACATGTACACATTTGTTGCACCAGTGCCAGCCACCTCACCTCAGCCTAGCTAGTTGATCAGGACCTATGACATAGCTAAGAGAGAATCAAATGATTCTAAGCTTGATGCTCTCAGCTTTCCTATGAACATGATTTTTAAACCCCCATGCCGTCTCACCGTCTCACCTTGTAACGTAAGCACTCATTCGTACATGTCCAGTACTAGTACCCAGTCTAGCTAGCCAAACCGGTACAAGGCCCTGGAACACGAAGAAACGTCGACACACAATGAGAGATCAACGGGGGTACCGGGTAGATTGTGGTCCACAATTGTAGACCATTGAATCTGGGGAAACTCATCAGATAACAACGTTAACCCAGAGAAGCACCATGGCACCAGCCTCCAATTTCTACAAAGCTGGCCCAGTCCCTTTGTCAATCCTGTCGCCCAATAGCTAAACACCAGATCTACTACTAGCTAGGTGCGGAAGGAGTTCCCCCTTCTAAAGTTGCTTTTGATGCTTCCAGACGTTTGATGTGAAGCAGCACTGTATGGCTGGCTTTGAGGGCTACTAGCTAGTACCGGTATCTATTGGTGGCAAGTGTAATTAAAAAAATAACTTGCTTGCAGCAAAGGTACGTACGATACCTATCGGTAGCCCCAGACCCCGAAGTCACTTCTGCTATTAAAATACCGTCTGAAAGCAATCAATCTAACTTTCAAGGGAGGAAATCGGAATATCCATGTGGGATTCATTGCCGTTCCAGCCGAACGGAAGCAACGCACCCACCAGTCTCCACAGGCTTCTGTTCAGCCAACAGCAGCACACTCACCATATTTTGAAAGTTTACAAGAGAAGAAGTCGAATCTCATCGACAAACAGCGGCTCGCTGTTCATGGCCTTTGTGGCTGCTGCCATCTATCAACGTCGCCGCCGACACCGTCGCCTCGAAGACGAGAAGAAGAAGAAAAAGGAAATGGATCTCTCGTTGAAAGACCATGCCAACAATGCCTCGCAGTCCCTCCAAACCGCCTTGCGGAGAATATCCCACGGCGCGCAGGACCTGCAACTCCCGCTGTTTGGACAAAACAGCAATCACGCACCCGTAAGAGATCACTCGAGACGACGAGCTACTCGAGCCAACATGAGGAGAGCGCAGAGCTCCGGAGAGGATTTTGACTTGGCATTGTCGTTGTGTCAAAATGCGCTGCTACGAATGCATCAGGAAGGCGAAGATGAAGAGATGATTGAACAAAAGCTGAATGCAGTCACACAGATGGTCGAACAATTTCGAGAAGGGGATGCGTTGAGCGATTTTAGTGACACAGAGGTAGAAGAAGAGGAAGAAGAAACGGAAGCGGACAGAACTCCTATTCTTTTGTTGAACGATCAGACCGATATTTGGGTCAACAATGTCCTACCCTTTGTCGGTATGGGAAACTACGTATATGTGGCCGGGGTCAACAAGCATATGAAGCAAGTATATGAAGCATACTGCGCCTCGGTGGAAACGCCTCCCCAAGTGACAGCTCCGTTTATCAGAGAAGCTACAGTGTACGATACCTTTTACAGTTCGGTCTTTTCCGGTATATCCTGTGCTCAATTTTGGGACCAAGAAACCAGAGAAGACGACAACCGACTCAACCTTGTCTGTACTGTGGTAGCCAAGGTGGGAAATCTCGACGTCTTCAAGTGGGCTCACGAACAACAGTTCCCGTGGAATGAACGAACGTGCGAACAGGCGGCTGCAAATGGACACGTCAAGATTCTGGAATATGCACACAAAAATGGCTGCCCGTGGGATAGCGACACCTGTTCCAGCGCTGCCAAACATGGACAGTTCAAAGCACTCAAATATGCCTGTGATCAGGGATGTCCCTGGGATGCCATGACATGTGCATTTGCTGCTCAAAATGGACATTTGGAGGCACTCAAATGGGTTCGAAGCAAAGGCTGCCCGTGGGATGGAAACACCTACAGCTATGCGGCATCAAATGGACACTGGCATGTCCTCAAGTGGGCAAGACAAAATGGTGTCCCTGGGATGCCATGACATGTGCATTTGCAGCACAGAATGGACAGTTGGCTGTACTCAATGGCTCCGCGAACAAGGCTGCCCCTGGGATGGATACACTTGCAGCTATGCGGCACAAAACGGACATTTGGATGTCCTCAAGTGGGCACGTAGAGGACGCTGTCCATGGGACGAAGATACCTGCAGTTTTGCCGCCATGAACGGGCACTTGAACGTCTTGAGATGGTCAAGAGAAAATGGCTGCCGGTGGGATAGCAACACTTGCACTTTTGCGGCTTCCAATGGACACTTTCAGGTTCTCCGATGGGCTCGAGAAAATGGATGTGCGTGGGACAAGGGAACCTGTTCCTCGGCAGCTCAAAATGGGCATTTGAGGGCTCTACAATGGTCCCATGAGCGTGGTTGCCCCTGGGATGAGTCAACATGTGGACGCGCTGCTATGAATGGACACTTGCATATCCTCAAATGGGCTCGGGAACATGGATGCCCTTGGGATGAGAGGACTTGTGCATGTGCGGCCATGAACGGACACTTGGAGGTGCTTAAATGGGCACGCAAGCACGGGTGTCCATGGGATGAAAATACCTGTGGGGGAGCCGAAGCCAATGGGCACAAAGCAATTTTGGAATGGGCTCTCAAAAATGGATGCCCGAGCTGGGAGGGGCTAATTGTATGAGGTATTGAATATTTGGTTTTGACAACTATGTAACGCAGCAACGTTTTCTAAAAAGTCTTTCGTGTTGTTCTCTGCAGGATTCGAGGGACACCCCTACTGGGAGAGCGGGAAATGCAAGTCGTAGGGAAAGTCGTGCGAGTCGTAGGGAGAGAAGTGCCAGTGCCAATCCCAGAGAGCACAGTGCTACCGCCAGTGAAAATACTCAAGGGGGTTGGGCCTGGTCTATCGTAGCAAAGATTCCACAAATCAAGTTTGTTTAACCTTGGCGCTTGCTGCAGTCTGTGACGAATTCTTCCATGATTCGACAGCCATGACTTCAATCATTAACGAAGACTGCAATTGATTGACCGTCACCAGAACCAATTACTAGTAATTCTCCGACAATTCACAGGCAACACAGCAAAAACCACGTGCTTTGATTCGCTGCTATACGCATCTACTGTTACACGTACTGGGTCTGTATATAACTTCTACTAAATTGAACGACTGGGTATTGTAATACATGTAATATATTGTAGCAACAAACAAAGGTACACTATCTCCATTACATACGCTACCGGTACTCGTATCACTTCTTCGCGGCCACAAAGTCGCAGATCAATTTGGCACATTCCACTGGCTTGGCATCCGAGAAGAAGATGTTGTGTGGCATTCCATCAAAACTCGTTTCCGTCACTTGCGTTCCTAGTTCTTCGGCAATGGCCTTCATTTTACAACAATTCGTGTACGGTACAGCCTTATCTTCCTTGCCCCAAATCAGGTGCATTGGAATTTTGGCTTGACAGCATTGTCGGTATTCTGGTTCGGCGGTAGTCCCCCCAAAGCCTTTGCATTTGTTATTGGTGGATCGAATAGCGGCAAAAAATCTTGGATTGGCATTGGCGTTGCGCTCGAGTGTTCCCAAGTACTCTTGCATTTCATCCGGCTGCGCCAATGACTGACGAGCAAATTTGAGAAATCCCTTGACGCCAAAGGCTCGTACCAAAAAGGTCCCCAGGATGGGCAAATTGGCCAGTTTGGCAACGAGGGGCGAACTAATGGGAAGGCCCACCGAATCGATCAAGATCATGCCGGCGATATTGTCGGGATTTTCTGCAGCATACCCAATGATAGCGGCACCACCCGTGGAATGACCACAGAGAATAATCTTTTTGTGGTTGGCCAGTTCCAATTTTTCGAGAACATCCTTGAGTTGTTGCACGTGCAGCTCGAGGGTAAAATCGAGAGGATGAACTCCTGTCGTGACAATGGGGTATTCTTCCATGTTGGATTCACTGTACCCTCTGTCGTAGAGATCGTAGCGCAAGACTTGCCCCGCGTCGCCTTTTTCCAGCAGATCGGCGGCAATCTTGTCGAATAGACCCAGATTTCCAGCAATGCCGTGAAGCAGGACCACCAAGGGACTGTCATTCGATTTGTTGGCACTGGTTTCTAGAACGTAGTGGGTAGTTCCATGAGTGGTCTCCAAAAATTTGCCCTTGGGAGGACCGCAGATGGATTCGAAGACTTTCCGACCTCCTGCAGCTTCGGATGACGCCATGGTCAAGCCGGTATCTTCTGGAAAATAATGATAGGTAGTAGAATGATGGGGTATCCAAGCAAATGAGCCAGGGGGGAGTAGAGTGACAGTCAATAGAGCGAACCAGAAAATATTGAGATTCATCCACTGACTCGACTCGAGTCGGCTTGATACTACTCGCCAAGGGCTATCTGGAATCTGACTGGCTTCCAAGCACACAAGGGATATGTACCGGTATGCCAAGCACAAGTATCTTGAGAACGGTTCCAAGTTTCCAAGCAGCTTTCTTCGTCATTGTTGTTTGTTGTCCTAAAAAATCCCGAAATATACTTTCGGAACTAGTTGGTTATTTCCGATTAATTCAGTTCCGAAGAGCTTTCCACTCCGAGAGCGAAGAGCTTTCCACGCCGGAAACAAGATTTTTGAATGGATTTCCCGGCCTTTTCTGTTGACCACAATTTGGCGGTGAGGTGGTGCCTGTTGCACCTTGCACCACAGTATTATTCCACACACAACATAGTATTTCAGTTGCTGGCGATCGATCAATCTCTCTTGAGACCATTATACAGTAAACCATGGTGGCCAATCGTCTGTTTCGCCTAGTCCGGCCCTTCTCCAGACGATCCTTGATGAAAGAAGACGACAATAATGAGGAAATGTCGGTGGAAGACGTACCAGACCTTCCACCCAAGACCATCTACATTCCCTGCAGAAAGCCTTCCAAAAAGCCAAAACTAGTCCGAGCGAGTAGCCTCAGTGCGGGTGTATTTATCAAGGAGGAGGACGACAACATCCACAGGGAACAACGACGAGCATCGTACAATGTTAGTGATAACTACATGCAAAAGCCGACATCGGTCAAGTGTCGCAAGTTTTCCTGGGATGGAGGAGTTCCGCTAGTAGAGAAAATCAGCAGCAAGAGCAGCAACAATACACGGATCCAACAAGTAGTACTCCATCATCGACCCTTTCTGGCCATTCTCCTCTTGGTGACACTGGCACTGGCAGCCGGGACACTGGGTGATGACGAGACAGCACCAACAAGAGGCAAGGAACGTGGAACACCATTGCCCGCATTTGCCAGCAAGAAGGAAGGAATTGCGCAAGACATGTACCAGGCTTACAAACAATTGGAAGAGGAGTACCATGCCAAAGCCTTTCGACCCGATAATGAGCACAAATGGAGAGTCGTCAATGAAAAAGATGGAGCCAAAGTATCACTCTTGGAGCACGAGTCCGATCCTACGTGCCCCTATGTGAGAATGGAAACACTCATTCCAACTTCGGTGGCATCCTGCTGGGAGTTTTTGAAAATTGAAAACTGGGGGTGGAGTATGCCCAAGGTGAGTGCTTGTTGTTCTGTTTGTTCAACCTACAAAGCGAGTGTTTTTTGCTGTCTTTTTGTATCTAACCCTGTCCATACTATCTTTTACAACATCAGATGGACCCTTTTTATGACACGCATTCGGTTCATGCCAACTATACACATCAAGGTGTCAATATGATTCTAGTACAAAAGAAAACTCATCGCATCTTGGCCTTTGGGAAACGCGACTTTGTCTTTCTCAGTGTCACGGATTTGCCTCTGGAAGATGGAACCTGGGTATCGGGCTCGGTCAGTGTTCAAACACCCGATGTGCCGCGGTCGCCATCCTACACACGGGCCTTTCAAGATTCCATTGCCTTTTACAAACCCATTCAAGACAAGAATGGTCAAGAGCAGTGCCATTTGACCATTGTCTGTCGGATTGATCTCAATGATTCTGGCGAAAGTGGCAGTGGAGGATGGATTCCCATGTGGCTCTACGTCAAGACGATTGGAGCGACCGGGATCAAGTCTGTCTTGAAAATGAAAGACGCTTTGCTAGAAATGCAACAAGAACAAAAGGCCATGCAGCAGGAGGCCTACGCACCAGCACCAGCCAAAGATACCGTTGCCAGTGCACCAACCGCCTCTCAATTAATGTCTCGGGCGAAACCACCAACACCAGCGCCAATACTATCTTCTTCAATCTTTACATCAAAGATTCTTCAAGGCGAAACCGACAATCAGCAACAACAGGAAACTGACAAATCACCACAATCTGAAGAGTCGTCTTCCACATGGTGGAGCCGACCACGAGGAGGCGCCTTTGGAGGAGGTCTCCTATCGTTCCGTCCACCACCAAAACCGACAACAGCCGAGCAGGTAGCAGACAGGTGGAAGCCATTGTACCAAGTCTTTACCCACTACTCCCCAAAGCCAACAACTCAATTGGTAGCAATCAAGAATACCTGGGGAACTCATCAAAAGGAAATGAATGATGAAAATTCCAAACCGTCGTTGCCCAATTGGTTTCGACGACTTCCTATGATTGGAGACCGATTCGGTGGAAGTGGGTCGTCTCGATGACACGAACGCCAATAAAGACGTTATTGTCTAATGGAAACGAAATAACGACATGCTATGATGTCCGTTGCTATTGCTGCTATATCTGTGGTTGGTTGGTTGTAGCTTCCGTATTTTAAAATCATAATGACAGGATGAGATATCTACAAATCCATCGACACCAAAAGTAACCATTATGCTATTTGCTGGTAGAATAAATCACTTTTTAGCGGTATGTAGTGACTTGAACTTGGGCATTTCAGCTGGAGGAGTCGGGAGAGGCTCTGACGCAAAGTAGCTGGACTGGAGTGCTTGCGATGCCGTGAGCCTCTTGCCATTAGCATCATAGTGCAACAGATTGGCCAAGAGCATCAAGCCGGACGTCGCCAAGTAGCTAAAGGAATCCAACAGAGGCATGGACGATGTTCTGACTTTGGCATATTTCTCGAGCTTTACAGATCCATCCTGGATCAAGGGCATGGTCAGAAGGTTTGGCCAGGATTCCACCGATGGTGGTCCGACAGTGGAGAAGATGGCTTCCATCTGTTCCGATTCTGATTTGCCACTCCAAAGAGGATATCCCAACAAGAGTTCTGCAAAGACACACCCGGCTCCCCACATATCAATAGCTTGGCTGTACGTCTTGGAACCCAGCAACAGCTCTGGAGGGCGGTACCAGAGACTCACGACATTTGGGGTCAAATGGTAGCCACCATCCTGCAATGGCTCTTGGGATGGTAAGGACCTGCTCAGCCCAAAGTCTGCGAGTTTGAGATGCCCCGAAGCTGAGTAAAGCAGATTGCTGACTTTGATGTCTCTATGAATCAATCGATGATCGTGCATGCACTCCAAGGCTGAAAGCAGATGCGTCATGAGTGTCTTGACGTTGGCCTCTGTAAACGGACTCTTTGGGTTATTGTTGGAACCACCAAAGATCCCTCCCTTAGTATTGCGTGGGTTGCGTTGCTTGGTGTAATGAAAATCCAGCAACTGGGCCAGTTCATGCTCACAGTATTCAAATACCAGATAGTTATCTGATTTGGAGACTGCCACCATGCCAATGTCAGTACGCAGTGTTACCACGTTAGGATGCTGCTGCAAAAGGCGTAGCGACAGTATCTCCCGCAAGGCAGTCATGGGATATCCATCGGTACCTTCATGATGAGGAATACAGCGCTTCAAGGCTACAAAGTCACCTGGATTTTGCCGGTCTTCGGCCTTGTACACGATCCCGTAGGTTCCCTCTCCAATGCGGCAAATTTTTTTGAAGCGTTCCGACACTCCGACGCAAGAGCCAACAGGCAATGATGCGGAACTTGGCTTTTCTTTGGACTCGGCTTTGTTTGGATTCTTTTTCTTTTGGGAGGTTTCGTTGATGATGGTGTCGGGAGATGACTGAACTTCGGGTGCCTTTGCAGTCTTTGAGGAAGTTGCTGTTGGCCGTGGCCGTTTTCTCTTCAGCCGAAATTGACCATTCAACGGAGGCTTCTTGGAATTCGGCTTGGGCTGCTTCGATGACATTGGCTTATCCAAGATCTTAAAAGACTAGCAAGCACAGGATACTCGCCCTTTTGTATAGGAAGGAATCAATATTGTAGGTCCTCGATAAGCAACACTATGGTACAAGAGCTAGCTAGCAGCTTCGAAATGCCAACCATTCATCGTTGATCGTTGCATGAGGCCAGCGGCTGGTGCCATGGCGGAATGGTTGTTGGCTTTCAAGCCAGCTGCGATGCAATATAAAGGAAGCCAAAAAGTCAGCAGGTGGAGACGAAGGTTCCAAATTGGCCAGCCAAACGAATGCATGCGCCACCAAGACTCGACTGAGTCACTCATTGCTTCAAAAAAGTAAGTGAAAAAATCATTGGCCTTGTGGAGCTGCGTACTGTAGTACCGTAAGGTACCGGTACATGTACACAGTTTATGTTGACTAGTCTACGTACAGTACGGAGATTTCCTGGAGGCAGAAAAAATTTCCAGCAAAATTGGCTGTGTCGCTGTGTCGAATGGATTAGTCTACTGAGAACCAGGTTTCGTAAAATCAGTCGTGAATTGCATCAAAAGTGCACTTGACGTAGAATCCTACAGAGCTACCCAACTGCACCAATTCGTACATTACCTAATCATTACCTAATCAAAGTACTGCGATCGAATTGAGTACTGACAACGCTATAGTAAAATCAGTCGGGAATTCAACAAACTTCAACTTTGCATAGAAATGCCAAGGGCGCTATTCATACCGGTACCGGTACTACAGGTACCGGAGTGCGTACAGTACCATTAATCTGCACCAATACTGACTTACTGAAAACGCTATAGTAAAATCAGTCGGGAATTTTTTCAAACTTGCACTTGGCGTAGAAATTCTACCAGAGCTACCTAATGTGCACCAATGCGAGTATGTTCCGGTACAGTACCAGTGAGAACAAATACTTAGACAAAGCCGCCAGATTAAATCTTTCAGTGCCTTGTTATCCAGGTCTGGGGAGCACTTTTGGGGGACTGTCTAGATGCTTTTAAAATTTAGTCGCGAATCCAAAATCGCGATGTACCGGAACACCGGAACCTTTTTAGGGCGCGAACCTAATCAAGAAGATCCAAATCAAGAAGATCCAAATCAAGAAGATCCGACAATCGCAACATCGCAACCCGTCTCATTTTTTCGCAAGCTTCAGTCTCATTTTTTGGCAACAGACCAAGAGAAAGAGACCAAGAGAAAGAGACCAAGAGAGACCAAGAGAAAGAGACCAAGAGAAAGAACTGAGCAGGTAAACAACATGACTCGTACCATGTCCATTTCAACCACCCTCCTTTTGCTCTTTTTGGCTGCAGCATCAGCGACGGAGTTTTGCTTTTATCGCAACGCTTACAGGGATGGTCGTATCAATCGATTTGACTGTAGCATTCCGTCCGGCTCCAAATTCAAAATCATTTGGAAACTGCTACCGCCCCTCGGTCGCCGCAGTCTTGGCGACAGCAATACCGATCATGATCATCGTGGTCTCCGCAGTCTGGAGGACAACGACAGTCACGATCAGCGTGGTCGTCGTCTTAGCCACCAGGAACTGTCCTTTACCATTGCGTTTGAGAATAATGCGGGGGGTAGTCTGAGCAAGACGTGGAGCTCTTCGGACCTGGATGGAATCGGCCGGATGGAGGAACATGATATTGGAAGTCCACACGACGGGCTCATGTACTTTGTGATACAATGTGACGATGATGACGGGCCGCTCTGCGACAATGGATTTATCGTTTCCTTTGTCATTGTGGAATGCGGTTGTGCCGACGATGAATTTGAAGTGGAGGGAACCCCGTGCCGAGTTTTTCAAAGTCCTGGTGGTCTAGTCCAGGGAGCTGACGTTGGATGTTGGCCACGTCCAGACCCACCTACTCCGGGATCTGCGCCTTCGCCCACTCCTTGTTTCTCAGGAGAAGTTGAAGTCCCAGTCTTGGCTCCGTCTCCAAGCATGGCTCCTCCAAGTAGCATGGAAAAGACAGCACCTGCTGGCACCAAGATTGTCTCCAAGCCCATGAAAGAACTCCAGATTGGAGATATTGTGATGTCCAAATCAGGAGGCTACCAGTCTATCTATAGTCTGGCTCATGTCAATCACGAGCAGGAAACTGAATACCTACAGCTTTACACGGATGTTAACGAACTAGTATTGGAAGTCACGGACGCCCACATGGTGTATCTGCAGGGGCAGGCGACTCCTGTCGAGGCAGCCTCGATCCAAGTGGGCGATATTCTTGAGGATATGTTTGCAAACAGTGCTAACTTTCAAGTGAACAAGATTGCCCGAATCAAACGCAAGGGACACTATGCGCCCTTGACTCCGGACGGAAGCATTGTTGTGGCGGGCGGCATCGTCGCGTCCAACTATGCCACATTTCCCTTTCAGCCCTCTGAAAAGAAGCATCTCGAACTTTTCTCCACTGCGGACGGCGGTGGCGTCACTCTGCCCTTTGTTCATCAAGCGACTGTGGGTCACATGTTCTTTAGCCCGCTTCGCTTGGTATGCATCGGCGTGTCGTCCAAAGTTTCCATTTGCCATCACCGTGATGCCCAGGGTTTGATCACATATGCTTCTGTGGCGCTTGAACTTGTCGAGATTGCTCGAAAGCATCATGCCATGGTCCAGATGTTGGTGTATGGATTGCTTTTTGTGGTGACGGGTGTCTGCTGGTGTGTTGAATTGATCTTGGGTCCCCGGTTGGGAGTCCTTTTCATGCTCGTCTTGGGCCTTTACAAGTACAACAAAAGAGCAGCCAATCCCAAGAAAGGATAAGAAAGCCACAATGCAGAAACACCCAACGCTTTGAATATATGTATTCCATGAAAACAAAACAATGAAAAAGAACAAGAAGATCGCAAAAAGTCCAACAAGAAGCAACAGCAGACGCAGCCGCCGCCACAACAGCCCGAGATGCACCAAGAAGCCTTGACCAACACCAACACGGAGAAGACCTGCATGTCTGGATACTACATGTACCAAGAAAGCCATTGAAGCCAGCAGAAATCCAATCTAAAGAACTTGACGAAGAAAGAGGAGCTGCACGCAAACGAACTACATAGCCTTTTATTATTATTATTATTTCCAGTCACGAGTACTAGCTAGCTAGTAGCGAATTTCACCAAGTACAGCTGTACCGTTCCGTTCTGTCGTCCTGTCGTCCTTGATCGCAGCAACATACGAGACTGTACCAGGAGACGCTCCATTCGCTAGCTAGCTAGCTAGTTACTAGCATACTAGTAGCTATTCATTCGAGTTGTGGCTTTCTTGGTCGAAGAAAAGACGGAGTAATATCTATTGCGAGTTGGCAACGAAACTTCACGATCGGCTTGGGGTACCGGTACGCACAAACGCCTGTTCCTTTTGGTGGAGTCACATACCTGCTACGCGAGATAATTCCATTCTGGTGGTACCGGTACTAGTAGCGCACCGAAAACCAGCGAACAGGCGTTTTCCCACAATGGCATCTCCGAGTGACAGGACGAAGCCTGGAGTATCCGATTCTCTCACACCAGCAAAGCGTAAATCTACCATCGACCGCCAAATTGAGTATGCCAAATCGGTACATGACACCGGCAGAGGTCTGGCAAAGGCGCAACTAGCTTTGAATGAGAGCATCAGAGCATTGCAGAAAGACAATCTCACCGAAGCGAAAAAAAAGAAAATTATAGACGACCTCATGGTGGTCCATGCATACCTGGGACACTGCTCAACACGGCTGGTCAATGATTCCGCCAAGGTGGCCCCAATTTCCGGTGCTGGGTATGCAATCGCCCGAGTAGCCACTGCAGAGAAGAACAATGCCTTGAGCAATAATCGTCGATGCACTCCCATACAAGAGATTTCTCAGCTAATGGCCAACCAGCCAACAACGAACAAACGCCAAAAGAATGAGCCAAGGAGACCCAAAAACAATCCACCACCTGCTGTGCTGTATCCTCCTCCTGCCAATGGTAAAGAGTACGGGCGAAGAGAATTCCTTCGCATCCTCACATCCTACAAAAAAAGATCCTCGCAGCGGGCACAAATTGTGAAAGAATCCATGGAGAATATGTGGGTGCCAGTTGGCAGTGCTGCTCTTAGGGCGGTGCTGAGAAAATTGGAAAAGCATGTGGAAGATGGTGGGACAGTAGATACCTATCCTGATGATCCTTGGTTTGCCAAGAAAGGTGGTGCGCCTTGTAAGGTTGTGGAATGGAACGAGTTTGGTGAAATGGAATTGGTTGCTCCTAAAGAAACCGCCGCAGCATCAAAAGCCAGACCACCCCAAGTAGGACAGCCGCCTCCCTTGCCGGAACCTTTGAATGGGGAGCAATATGGGTGCCGGGAGTTCCTTCAATTCATCACAGCCTACAAAAAGATCAGTCGTCACAGAAAACAATCAATAACCGAAGCCATCAAGAGAAATTGGGTGCCCCTTACCCAAGTTGAAGATGTGAAAGCTCTTATCGAACAATTCGAAACTCATCTCGAAAATGGTGGCACAGTAGACAGCTTTGAAGATGATTATTGGGTCGTTGCTAAAGCGGCAGCTTCCAGTTTGGACTCCAGTGGTCCAGAAGAGATGCAACCTGAAATTCCCAACCAAGCCAGCACCCCGAAACATAACAATGATGACAATGGTACCACCGCAAAATCACCTCCAGATGCAGCTGCACCAAACGATATTCCACCACCACCAGTGATTTTTCCTCCTCCTGCAAATGGGGAAGGTGCAGGTGCACCAAACGATAATCCACCACCACCAGTGGTTTTTCCTCCTCCTGCAAATGGGGAACAGTACGGGCGCCGCGAATTCATCAAAATCATGAGTGTCTACAAAAGCAGAACCAAAAAGAAGGGGTATGTAATGAATCAATCAATCAAGAACAAGTGGGTGCCTATTGGCGGTCCTGCCATTCGATGCTTGCTGAGAGCATATGAAAAGCATGTTGCCAATGGTGGGACAATTGACACCTATCCTGACGACCCGTGGTTTGTTGCCAAAGGCGCAGCACCATTGTTGGACTCAACTGATCTAAGTGAGCTTGCGGCTGAAATCGATTCCAAATCTGGCAGTTCACTGGACTTTGAGAGTCTACTGGCACAGAAAATACGTGAAAAGCATGGAGGATCCGATGCAGCCAAAGCTCCATCCAGGAGAACTATCTGTAATTATCGAGATGTTCTATCCATGCTCTCTGCCAACAAAAATAAAAACAGTAGCACTCCTGGGAACAACCAGCAATTGTGACTGGTTTCTAATTTTAGTAGCTGCTCATAAGTTCTTTAACAAGCACTAGCTGTAGGTTCAAAACTTGAGCCATCCTTCCGTGAAATAGCCACCAGTGATCCCATAGTTCATTATTTGTAAAGCCTAGCTAGACATAAGGTGTAGATCTGGCACGAGTTGCTTGTAGAAGCATAGCTGTAGATTGAGTTGAATCTTTGTGGTGTGCCACATGGAAAAATGCATTCCAGATATCCGCCCAATGGTGTCTTGCAATCGTCAAAGCTACCATGCGAAACTAAAATCTGCGAGTCATAGTTCCTGGGTAAGTCAACCCCTCAACTGCTCCAAAGTGAAACTGCACTCATCCGGCGGCAGGCTGCTATAGCAAGGACAAGATACATGGTCTTGGGTCTGATCATGTATCCTGTGGTTGGTAGGGAGAGTCTGGATGCACATAGACATCAGACGTCTGCACAAGACTTCCAAAGCCAAATCGTTTGTACCCAGCTTTTTTCATAATTGCTCTAACATCATTCCTGTTCTTACAGCCCTCCACACAGTGCTTGTTTGACACTTCCACCATCAGAACATCTATCATGACTTTCTTGAAGTCAATAGTTTCCAGAACCATGGACTCTGATCCTTCCACATCCAAGGACAGGAAGCTTATTCTTTCTCCAGCAAAAAGATCTTCCAACACTGGTCCAAGGGGCCCACACGGGACTGTGATTGTTGGCTTTCCTTTGTATTCCAGTGCCTTGCCCTCCAATCCAGTGTTGCTCATGGGATAGTTGTAGAACTGCACAGTGCCATCTTCCTTGCAGGAGGGAGCAAACTTCATTCTGTGTGCCTGGGGACGGTTGTTTACTGCCTGCAGAAAGAGATCTGGATGTCCTTCGATCAATAGACCTTTCCAACCCAAGCACACATCAAAGAAGCGTGTATTGCTTTCCGACTTTCCATCAAAGGCTCCTAGTTCCACATATGTGCCCGGTTGATTGTGATTCAGTCGGCCCTTGAACAACATGTGATAAATAATTTTGTCCTCCATGGATCGTGAATGTTCCTCCGAAGGAAGATTGAAAAACTTCATGTAGTTGGGAGCCTTGCCACACTCCTCAGGTGTACTCTGGAAAGAATTTGTTGGCAGCCTATAGTCGTAGGTCTCCTTGTACCGCTTCTGCCGATCAATGCGGGGGTCTGGTCGCGACACGTAGTTTCGAATCAGGCTGAAGGTAGCTCCCGGACGGGTAAAGACATCGGATGCCCTCACAACCCCATCATGCCGTGTGTACCCAGCATTGGTCATGATTTCCCTGACAGTATCCCTCAATTTACAATTTTCTTTGCAGAAATAGTTGTCGACCTCCACCATGAGGACATCAATTTTGACTTTTTCAAAGTTGATGGTGGCCAATACTTGTGGTTCGACGCCTTCGACATCCAAAGAGAAAAAGTGGATTGTTTCGCCCTTGAACACATCTTCCAGTACACGTCCCAGTGGGCCACAAGGAACCGAGACGGTGGGCTTTCCCTCGTATGTGACGGCTTTTCCTGCCTGTCCAGCATTGGTCATGGGGTATTTGTAAAATTCGACCGTGCCACCAACGTCCTTGCAGGATGGCGCAAAACTCATGCGATGGGCATGTGGTCTATTTTGTACTGTTTTCTGGTACGTGAGTGGATTGGCTTCAATCAATAATCCCTTCCAGCCCAAACAGAGATCGTAAAATCGAGAATTACTTTCGGATTGGCCATCAAATGCGCCCATTTCGACATACGTCCCTGTTCCCGTCAATCGTTCTTTGAAGAATGCCTTGTAGATTGCCTTGTCTTCCATATACCGAGACCGTTTGTCACGTCCTTGTTCAAAGAATTTGGCGTATGTAGGTCCAAAACCGCATTCTTCTTCGGCGGCCGTCGAGGGAGGATTGGATAATAATGGGGCTTGGTAGTTGTAGACCGACTTGTATGTTTCCCATCTTGCAGATTCACTGTTGTCCAGTATTTTCTCTTGCCGCCGACTCCCCAGTGATCTCGTCAATAACAGCTTGCTCGATGATGCTTGCTCCTGAGGGCTGATATTTTGATTATCATTATTGTCATTATTGACCGACCGGGCCAAAGTTATGGAAGAGAACAAAAACCACACCACCATGCACAAGCTTGCCGTGACGAGAATGACAATCACCAGACTGGACTTGGTCTTCTTGGTAGTCGCTGCCCTAGGTCGAGTGACAGTCATCATCTTCTTCCTCTTGCACTTCTCGATCAATCATGCCCAGCATTGAGCTTTGTTGTTGTACGGTAGGTTTGCGGGGTTGGTCAATCCAGTTTTGAGACTAACCAGATAGCAAGGACGAGGGGACAAGGATGCTTGGTGGTGAGAAAGATCGTGGGAGGGTCATTGCTTGCAGGTTGAAGGGTCATAGTTGATGCCATTGAAAGATTTAACGGTCATCTTGGGGGAAGGCAAAAAAGTGAAGAGACCGTTGCAATGGCTGGTTGACCACAACACAAAGAAAGACGTAGATCTTGTTGTAGAGCAATCCATCTTCTTCTTGATTATCATCAATCTGTCTCCTTGTCTTCTACTACCACTACCTGACTGACTACCTGACTGACTTACCATACTAAATTGCTACCATGACGACAGTCCGTCGTCCTACTCATCGGTCTAGCAACACGGGGCCCAAGACGCTGTTGATTACCATTTTTGTCGTGTTATTCGTGGGAATTGTCTACATTGCACTCCCCAGCGAACCCGACGAAGCGGTGGCATTAGATGCCGATGGCAAGAATGTGTTTCTAAAGGAAGCTGGAAAACTGCGCATTTCCGTGGAACACAAAAAGCAACAATTGCGAGAAGCCTTGGCGGAATCGTTGGGAAAGCAAGTGTCGCAGCATTTGCCGACGCGGTTGCGAGAAGCCCGTGACAAGCACGAAATTGTGGGCGAACGACTCTCCAAAATCAAAGATGGCTCCGAGACGGTGCAGGAATTGCTCTACGGAGAACAACCCGTGGGACATTCTCCAGGAGAAGAAGAATACTCGGACAAACCTCCCATGGCCATGGACGAGATTATTGACTATCTGACCAACTGGATCCATTTGCTACATGACACACTCAAACAATACAAAACGGCCAATTACGAACAAATCTGGCAGGGATATCACGATCTCACCGTCAAGACACTGTATCCATGGGACAGAGAGTATCTCAAGAGAATGCCACAACGACGACACGATGGATCCATCTTTCTATCGGTCGCCACCTATCGGGACGAAAACTGCATGAATACACTCCGCGGAGCATACGATAATGCTGCCAATCCCGAAAAATTATTTGTCGGATTGGTACAGCAAAATTGCGAAAAGGAATGCAAGACGGGAGTATTGGAAGGTGGGAAGATTGCAGACGCGGATCCGGATCCCGATTGTCACAAAATATACTGCGAGGAACAGCCCGCACGATGCAAACAGATTCGAGCGCTGCACATTGACGAACCAGAGTCGTTGGGGCCGTATGCGGCCCGATACTTTGCTTCCAAATTGTGGGATGGAGAAGAATGGTTCATGCAGATTGATGCTCATATGGTACGTTACGTTTCGTGATTCAATTCAATTCAGTGCTGTGCTGTTCAAAATTGCATTTATGCTTCATCTCACGTGCTACATTCTTGTTATTGGACAGACATTCGGCAAAAACTGGGACGCCATTTCCATTGTTGGATTGAAGAATGCTCCGTCCAAAAAGCCTGTACTTAGTCATTATCCTCCCGGACACACCATGGATCTAAATCTCATGGCCGACAAACCGGGAAGTCGACTTTGTGGACCCATCTTTGCTCCTTCGGACCTCGAGTCGCAAATTGTTCGTCTGGAAGGAAATGGAATGTACGATCATGTCAAAATGGATACTCCTCGTTTCGCACCATTCACGGCGGCTGGTAAGTAGTGCTGCTACTGACAAACCACGGTTGCTTATGTATCTGGTGTATCTTGTCAAACTGGCTGGAAATTGTTCACATTATTTCGTCCAATCATCTCTGCGACAGGATACTTTGTGGCACATTCCTCCTTCCTAAAGGAAGTGCCATTTGATCCATTCTTGCCGTGGATCTTCATGGGAGAAGAAATCATCATGAGTACGCGTCTCTGGACGTCTGGATACGACATCTTCTCACCTGCTCAGTCGGTGGTGGGACATATCTATGTAAGTCGACTCAACTCGCAGCTAACTAACTATTCTATGGTTCGTGGAACCCCCGTCAAACTCACATCATAATATATATTGCACCATCTATTTCTTTTAGGTACGACGTCACAAACCCAAGTTTTGGGAATCCGTCCATAGAACATTCACCATGGGAGTTCACAATCCACTGCAAATGATGATCCTGGATCGAGTCAAGTACCAGTTGGGATACCCCGAAGCGGCGAGAGATGTCATTCCCCTGAAATCGCTACTTACTGCTGTGGAACAATACACCATGGGAACGACTAGGCCACTCGAGCAGTACATGCGAATGGTCGGATTGAACGCCACAACCAAGGAAATTACGTTCACTGGCTGGTGTGAAAACGGGCATCCACCTCCCGGATTTGAAGAATTCAATCATCTCTACAACCTCTAATTGATTCATTCAGTATGGTAGAATAAAGATGACACAGGGCTGGTGCTCCAGGATGATATAGAACAACTAACTGCATGTACATACTAGTATGTAGACCCGATCAGGGTTTATTTCTACGGTGTGGGTGGTTCCTCCCTATTGTACTTTGCTGCTAGCTGGCTAGCCTGCTAAGTACAGTCCAAGTCATTATTCACTACCGTACGAGCGAAAAAGCGAATATAAAGACACTAAGGCCAGGAAGTCATCTGAAGCTGGTGGAGACGATTGATGAAAGAAAACCGTAGCTGGTGGATCATACATCGTACAAAGGAAACCTGTGCTGCACCACGCACCAAAGTGGCGTTCCAGGGAAGCAGGGAAGGGAGTTACTCAGTACTCGCACCAAAGTTGCTTAGCCTTGGACACCTCCGTAGTCTGTTGTCTCCCTCAAGAGGCGCCCCACAAGACAAGCAACGCTGAAAGTAATTTTGCATTCTAACTGTTAAGAGATCATATATCATACCAGTATCGGGTCAAGCCCATGAAAATATCACGATGTGGATAAGCAGTTAGTTGACTTTTGATACGACTGCCAATATCATGTTGCTCTGTTGGTGCCGTCAAGAGTTGCTGGCTACCGGAGGCGTTACTGAAAACACAAAGAAACCCAATACAGTACCTATTCAACAGTACATATTCAACATGTCCTCTGTTCAACCTTTTCCTCTGTTGTCACAAACGCGTTCGCTTGTTCCAATCAATCTGATGAGTCGCAACGTCTATCTTGATGGTGATTGTCGCAACTACCGTACGCATAAATAGCTAGCTCTGTTTGGACTTTTCTGCTTCTTGCGCTTGCTGCTGCAAACGTCGCTCTGCTGCTGCCGCTGCAGCAGATCGCCGCTTCAATTTGTCACCTTCTGACAGCTTTTGGGTTGTAGTAGCAGTACTCTTTGTAGTGGCCAACGGGGCGTCGCCAACGGGGCCACTTTGGCTGCTACCATTCTGAAACCCTCCTCTCAATTGTGCATCGACTTGATCTCCCGTCAGACTGCCCAGGATAGCTTTGCCTCCTCTATTAAAAACGTTGTAGGCACTGTCGGTAGTCTCTCCATCCCACTTCTCCCTCAACCCCACGGTGAAAATGGCAGCCAGAATGGTACCCACAAAGGCAATAACACCCAGGCCATTACGAATCAGCCACCAACAACCAGCAGCCCAAGCAATGCAACCAGCATAAAAAGCAGGGCTTTGCTCTGTTGCAGACCTGACCATGTTTGTTGATAAATATTATGTAATAGAATTCAAGCTTACTTTAGTTCTTAGAAGATATGGATAGGTGCTTTGGCGACGAGGGCCGGCTGATTGAGGGAAGCTGGAAAAAAAGTGAAGACGAGAAGAGCGAACACAGCGTGATGGACGATGTCAAAGAAAGATCGCGAAGCCCATCAGGATCGGAAGCACATTTGCTCTGGATCGCAACATCCATTTAATAAAAACGAGAAAGAACTGCCCACAAGTCGAGACGAGTCGAGTCGAGTCGAGTCAACTCCACCAGCGATGCTACATGTACTCTAGCTAGCTAGAATGGGCCCTGGGGTTTCCAAGAGCTACATGATGACGGTATGGGGACGAGATATCATGTTACTGACAAACAAAAGAGCTATCGGTACCAGCTAGCAATGCAAGTATTTTGAGTGACCAAATGTCTTTCTATTATGTCTTTTTTGCCGGGGCCTTTTTCGAGGCAGTGCTATTGCTACTACCGGTAGCCTTTTTTGCCACGGGCTTTTTCGCGGCAACAATGCTAGTGCTAGTTGCTGCCTTTTTTTCTGGTGACTTTCTCGAGGCAACAGTGCTATTGCTACTTGCCTTTTTTGCAACGGGCTTTTTGGGGGCAGTGTTCGACGAGGCAACAGTGCTGTTGCTACTTGTTGTCTTTTTGGGCGAAAAGGATCGATTCTTTTTGACTTGTGGCTTGGGCTTGGGTGGAGACGGCAACTCTTGCAGTTTCTTTGTTGGTTTGGATGCCGACGCCGGTGCTTTCTTGGCTGTGGCATCGGGCTCGGTCAAGTCTATTGCCTTTTCCAGAGCAAATTTCTTTAGCTTGTCGACCAAATCAATCAATGATTGGGCAAACACCTGACAGTCCTTTTCACCACCCATGCGATCCAATTCCATATTGGCCAATCGATAGACGATGGGTGTCATATCCATCCAGGCACAATCCAACGCCGAGTCAATGAGATTGCAGACACCAGTAGCATACTTGTCGTATTCGGTCTTTGCGATATCCAGTTTTTCTTGATTGCGTTTGAGTTTGTCCTTGGCCTTGTCATCGAGCTCCTTGCCCCTGTCGTTTATTTTGGCTTCGGAATCCAGCAGTTGTTGAACTTTTTTGTCGTAGTGGAGCCAATCCTTTTTCAGTTCTTCGGATTTGGAAATGCCCGCTTGGATGCGTGTATTGACGACAATCTCCCATTCATTAATGTACTCGATGCAGTATTCGTCGATATAATCGGCGTATTGTGTATTGAGTGCCGACATTTGTCGTGACATGCTACAGTAGGAATGCTCCTTTTTGTTTTGAAAGGTTTTGGCCCAGGTCGGTGCGGCTACCAATACCTTGTTGCCCTTGCCAGCATGAGCAAACAGGGGTGTTCCCTTGGTGAAGATTTCAATTTGTTGGAGCATCTTTTATCAAAAAGCAAAGCAAACAGAGAGTAGAGTGAGTTGGTTCAGAAGGTAAGGTGAGCGTGGGAAAGCATTTCCAAGTTTCCGGAAGAAAACAACGGGAGTGAAGTACCTACCTCTGATCGGTTGTGTTCTAGATTGATCAAGGAAGCATGATAGTTCTTGAGAGCAATGGAGAAGGGCTTGAACTGTTCCGTGAAAGTCTTGAATTTGTCCTTGAGCACATCCAATTCTACACCCCGATTCTTCAGCTCGGTATGCCTGTCCGCTGCTGCAGCCAATCGTTCGGCTGTCCGAGTGCGTTGCGTACTCATGTTGTTCTTTCTGCGATTCAGATTCCTGTTACTGCTGGCAATACTGCTGCTGCTGCTGCTGCTTCGGCGGCGTTGTTGTTGTTCGTTGGCAACCTGCCCAGATCGAAACAACATCACTATCCCGAGGAAATTGTACCACTCCTTGTGCTTGGAGTGGTCTTGTGATGTTCAGAAGGGAGATGGCAGACAGACAATCAAAAAGGTAGACGTAGAATTGCAACCTTCTCTTCTCCAATGGATAAGCAGTGAACCTTCTGGTCTCACAGACCTTTGACCACCCTTTCAGATGGTGTGCTATGACTGAGGACTCGACTCGGCTTTACTAAAGAAGGATGCGGAAGACTCAAGAGAGATGATCGTCCCAATGCCCAATGATGCAAAACACACCCGATGACCGGTGACGGCTCCGTGATCTTGGTTGTCCTCGCCAATCGCCAAAGATCCAACCAAAAAACGGCTCTTTTGCTTTTCGATAGAGTTAGGGTCAATTAGATTTACTGTACATCCTCCGATACAAAATCCCCTTCGAAAAGGGTCACGCTCCTGTCACTCACTCGGAAGCAACCGACGGAAGACAACTCGGAGAAAAGAAAGACAGCATCAACGGCCGGCCATCGAGACCGTAACAAGCTGCATCATGGTCATGATGAAGGCAATGACAAGTTCGAAGAGTGTCACGATGGTCTCTGTGATGGCTGTCGTCTTGGCGGCTGCTGTGCTCGACCATAGTGTCGTTGTCAAGGCAGAGCAACACCAAATTCAGCCCATGAACAACGTCAACGTGGCGTCCCCTGCTCAAACTGGCGGAATCCATGACGCTCTGATGATGCTCGAGACCGAGGGATTGCTCGACGCTCAGAATCTCTTGGAGACGCAGCGATTCTTGGAGGACGACTTGAACAACAGCTCTGTGACGACAAATGATGGAAACTCCACCAGCAACAGTACTACGGCAGCTCCCGAAGCGCCGCCAGCAGAGAAGGATTCGACAGTACTTCGCGCAACTTTCACTACCTATGGCAGTGTCTTTCTGGGCGTGTTCTTTCTCCTTTGCATTCTTCGCAAGCGCTTCAAACGAGCATTCAACCTTCGGGATTGGGTGGATGATCGGAAATCAGACCTTGCCAAAAATCAGTTTGGCTGGTTGTCATGGACGTGGCGACTGGCAATGATCAAGGATGAAGTCTTTATGATTGAAAATGGGATGGACTCGACTTGCTTTGTTCGAGTCACTGTCATGGGCATCAAACTATGTATGGTGGGCATGTTTTGTGCATTGTTCCTATTTCCTTGCTACTATACAGCTCCAAAGACACAAGAAACCATGGATGTCAACGACTGGGTCAAAAAGCTGACTACTGGAAATGTGGGATCAGGTTCTCCTCGGTTGATTGCCACTGTCGTTGCCGCATATGTGGTGTTTGGATCCACCATGAAGTTGATAAAGGAGGAAATGGAATGGTTTGCAGGGATGCGGCACCGATACTTGAGACGAAAGTTGGCAAGAAACTATGCCATTTACTTGCGCAATATTCCACCACACTACCAAAACAACAAAGCACTGAAACATTTCTTTGAGCGATGCTTGGGCGTTGAACTAGAGGAAGCCCACATTACCATGAAAACCAGCAATTTACAAAAGGCTGTTGCTGAGAGAGCTGACACGGTAGCCCGTCTGGAACATGCAGTTGCGGAAGAAGAAATTCATGGCGAGCGCCCACGTCATTCAGCCGACAATCTGATTGTCCCAGTTGGAAGCATCATGGGTGGTCAGACCGTTGATAGCATTGATTTCTATGTCAAGCAGCTCAAGGCTCAAAACAAGGATGTGACGGAACGCATTGAAACCCTTCGAGAAAATGCTGACAAAGACATGGAGGTTCGGGCAGCAAACAGTGGCGACGACGTTGACGTGGACAACACGTCCGATACAGCAGAAGAAGACACTGGTTTCTTGACTTTTGTCCGATCAAGTGCAGTCAATGTGGTCTCAAATGTTGCAGAGAACACCACTTCTCTCACAACTGGGGCCACTGGTTTGGTGGCTAGTGCCGCTGGGCAAGCTGTCAATCTACTCACGGGGGATGAAGATGGGGCAGTGTACAGTGCGGGGTTCATTGTATTCAAGAAGCTGTCACACGTCCAAACAGCACTCCGAATGACACACTATGAAGTCCCCTATTCCATGGAATGCTTAGAGGCCCCCGATCCCCAAGATATTTTCTGGAAGAATGTGGGCCGCGAACACAAGGATTTGCAGGTTGGATCCCTGTTCAGTCTGGCCGCTACAGCGGCAACATGCCTACTTTGGACAATCCCAGTCTCTTTTGTGTCGTCACTATCATCGGTTGATGCACTACGAAAGCAGTTTGGGTTCATTGATGACGTGCTGAATGCAGCTCCATGGCTCGTGCCGATATTGGAGGTCTTTGCTCCACAGTTTCTTGTCATTCTGAATGCCATGCTTCCTGTAATTCTGACTGTTTTTACACAGTTGGAAGGCCCGATCTCTGGCGCGGCCGTGGAGGCTTCCTTGTAAGTGTTGCAGCATCAGCCTTGGAGTGTTATTTGAATCCTGCCTTCTCACATATCTGCTCACAACCCAATCCCTCAAAATCAAGGTTTGTCAAGCTATCCATGTTCATGATCATTCAAACATTTTTCGTCAGGTACATTGGCAACTTGCAGGGAGGCCTTCTGATATTGTATGATTGGATCGAATCATTCTCACCACCTGTCCCCTTTGATTTCCTCAGTGCAATCTCTGGTGGGATCTTTGAAGAGCTCAACAGACTACTAGCAGACTATACAGCAATTATCGACCTACTTGGAAAGAGTTTGCCTGCTCAATCCACGTTTTTCATGCAAATGGTATGCCCAACAAGCTTTTGAATGGGTTCGCTTGATCTGAAACCAGTGATTCAGTCTGGATTCCTCATTTCTATTTCTATCAGGCCATTGTGATGACAGTGACAACATCAGCAATTGAAGGATTGCGTGTGGCCCCTCTCGCGCTGGCATTTGTGCGGAAATTTGTTGGACCGAAATTGACTGAGAAAGAACGATCAACTACGTTTATGGGTCTGACTCCACTCAATGAGCCCTCGGAATTCCAACATGCAGGTAAGTGCAAGGGTCGTGTTGCCAATATTGGGTTGATTGAAAGCCACGCTCAAAGTTGTTTTGCCGCAAACAGACTTCCTTTCGAATATGGTTCTGTTCTTCATCATCTTCTTAGTTTATGCTGGTACGTGTCGAAGCTGCGTTTGCCATGAAGTCTGATGAATCTATTATTTTACCCTCATTGCGACTGGTGATGTTCAGTGATTGCACCAATGGTCAGCTTCATCCTTGCCTTGTGTTTCGGTGTCATGGGAACTCTCTTTCGCCATCAGTTTGTTTACATCTACAATTCCAATCCAGACTCTGGGGGGTTCTTATTCTTGAATTTCATTCACATCTTGACTTCGTGCATGTTGATTGGCGAAATCACAATCAGGTGAGTTTGTACCTGAAGACCATCCTGCGGACCTTTCGGTCCTGCTATTTGCTTTGCTCATTAGACTCGTTTGCTGCAATCAATCAAATGAAATCATGAAAAGTGGGCTTCTCACATTGAAGAAGAGCCCTGTTGCAGTGCTGAACATTCCTCTCATCGTGTGCACCGTGCTCTTCAACTACTACATCCGGCAACAGGTAAGTCTGTATCGCTGGTGTTGCATGTGGAGTTGCATTGGCTGTCATCCTCACGCAGCTGTATCCATCCATAAGCACTTCACCGTGGCGCAACATCTGCCAAGTCGATTGTGCCGGAAGCAAGACCAAAAGAACAACAGCTCCGGCATGTGTTACGACTTCGTCCAGGATGCCTATCTCCAGCCCGAGCTTCGTGAACCACGAGGTAGGTGGTGTAAAGTCACAGGTATTGGCGTATGCTAAACTCTCTAACAATCTTTTGTACTGCTCATTCTAGTTCTTCCTGAAGTGTCTGATGACTTGATTGGAGATCTTCGCCTGTTGGCTGACGACGATGAAGTCGAAAGTGGCACAGTTGCAAGTGCCGTGACTTGTCGGGTGACCAAACTGCGACTCTCAGCGTACGAACCAGGGGATGGCGAAGGGGGGACTCCAGATGCGTCGTGGATCGATGAACGCAGTGGGACAGCGCCTGATTCACAATCGATGGACTTGGACAACTCGGTGCACTAAAACTCGGAAATCAATCAGAGACTTGAACTGAGGTATGCGGCAGGGGTTGGAGTCGAGTCGTTTTATCGTAATTTCGCTAGATATATGTAGCTATAACTGCACCGCTCACATGAGTATAAAAATGCCTGCAAAGCAACTTAGAGACTATCGTACATGTACAAGGTGAGGGCGAGATGAGGGACTGGACAAGAATGTTGTACATTAAAAATTTTCGACGAAGACTCTTCTTTGCCGGGCCCTCGCTGGCTTCCGCACGGTAGAGAATCCACCTGCTCTACCCCCGTTGTTTTGTACCGGTACGGGGTGAAAGGTTTATGAAGGAATGGATCGACAAGAACAGAACGACATAGCGACGCACTAGGTTATATTGAAAGACGTGGCGAGGCAAACCTCGTGGCGATAGCCAACTTTGGTGCACTGAGCAGCCACTGAGCCCAGAAGGACTGCCATCAGTCACAGTTGGCGGGAGTGGAATCAGATGCGGTGAAAACTTACATGGACGTAGAATTCTAGTACGGTACGAAGCAAACCTGGAAAACTGCGGCCGACGTGTGCCGGTATGCTCCGGAATGCAACCATTCAGTTTCTTCGCCTTAGCTACTAGCTTAGCTACTAGCTAGCTACGGTATCTACTAGTAGCTAGAATCGAATTTGGCTGGATTCCACGGGACCTCCCGTTAAGCCCCAAAACAAACAGATCTCATCTCTCATAAAATCAAAACTTGAAAGCCCAAGAACCAAAACCAAAACCAAAACCAACAGATTCTGAAAAAATGCAATCCAAAATGAATCTCTTCTCCTGCTCCTCTCTCACCCGGCCACTAACACTGGGTCTTCTGGGAGTTTGCCTTGTTCCCTCTCTGGCCTTCCAGAGTCAGACCCCACCACTATTCGCAAGAGTCGCGTTTATGCCCAGCCCCACTGGTACCTCTGCAATGAAAAGCCTTGGTGGTGAGGGGCTGCAAAGAAAACCAGCTTTCTCCACTTCCCTTCACCAATCCAGCCATGTTGTCCATCATGTTGACAAACCATTACTGAGTGATGTGATACGTTCATCACCCTTCTCAGACATCTCTCCCGGGACACTGCTTGCCCAAATACGGGGGAAACGAGCTACAAACCCACTTATTCGGGGACTGGTGCATCAATTCATGACAGTCACACTGCCATCTTTTGCATTTCTCAAGATCATGACTGCTCTTTTGTGGCCAATCCATGTAAAATTTGGCAATGCATTTGGTCCTGTTTTTGCACTGAATGTTTCCAATGTTTTGGCTGGTTCAACTCTACCTCTCTTAAATCTTGTGTTGGCTCTACCTTGGTTGATGCCTACATCATCTGAGCACAAGGCAGCAGCGCAAAAGAATCGAGAGGATTTTGTTCACTTCCACACCAAGGATACTTTACTTCAGAATACCCTTCTTGTGCCTGTAATTCCTCTTGCAATCATGGCCTTCACACCTGGGGCTGTGTGGCGGACAATGGCCCCACCAAACCTGAACTTCTGGTTGATTGCAAAAGTGAGCATGTTTTCCAGTTTATTCACAGAAATTACCTTCTATGCCATGCATCGGATCATGCACATGAAAAAGAGCAAAAATCCAATTGTCAAATATCTCTGCAAATGTCACAAGATTCACCACATGGTTGATTCACGCCAATTGAAATCTCATGATGCTGTTCGCGTGCATTTTGTTGAGACAATCTTTAATGTGATTGGCATTCTTGGCGGACCCTTGCTGATGGGCTGTCACCCCATGGTCACGTTGTCTTCTTTTACCTTCACAGTGGCCAATGCTTTCATCAGCCATACTGACTACTTTGACTTTCACAACAGCAATCACATCTTGCACCACAAGCGCAGTGACTGCAACTATGGCCTGACAGGCATGATGGACTACATTTTTGGTACAGGCAGAACAGAAAGCAAGTAACTTGCTTCATTTTCAACACTCACTACAATCAATTTAAACTGGCCTGCTGTTTTGAACCTGCTGAGGCTGTGCAAGACCAGAATAAAATAAATCCATAAATAAAGATAGAACAGTGTCATTAAGAATCCAGGTTAGGTATTTTCACACTTTGGCCCGTCCTGTCAATCCCCAGTTTGTCCCCTCATCTGATCCCAACGAACCTGCTTGGTTTCACATTTCTTCTCCTGAGCCTGCCCCCCTGCTAGCCTGCAGGCTTCACTCAACTTAGCTTCAATTGACTACAGATTTTGCACCTATTATTTCCAGCGCGTGTCCCACCTCCGGCACGCCGCCCGATCCGTCAAACATAAAGTCCGCAGAAGATCAGAATGGATGGAAACTACACTGCTGCCACTCACTTTTTCCAATCCATCCTGAACTTCTGAGGACAAATCAACCATGAGCGAGCCTTCACATGAAAGAGAGCAACAACTCAAGATAGCATTAACCAATATTAGTGTACGGATATAACAATGTAGCCAAGCTGTAGCGAAATTCACTTTTGATCTCCTTGATGGATTGACGATGGACTTTTCGTTCCTTTGCCGTCGTCTTTGAATTATACAATGAGCAGAGCGGCAAAGAAGAAGGCCGAGATAGACGAGGCCGTGGGCGATGCAGCAGTACTGCTCAAAATCTCCAAGAAAGGCGGTGGGATGACTGCGCACTCAGCTCTTCGATTGGCGGGAGTGTCAACCGAAGATAGACAAAACAAAGCTCTTCAAAAGCGCGTTCATCGAGCAAGGGACAAGCTCCATGATCAACGAAAGAAACTAACAACTGAGTTTGATCAAATGGAGTTGGCGGAAGAAGATCATCCATTTCCGAGCTCTCAAGAAAGTGTCATTCCCATTGTTCCAAGACTCCCCAAACAACTGAACATGAGAAAGACTTCCAAACAGGCTGCTGCCCAACGCAAAGCCAATGTCCAAGTCAAGGACCTGAAAGGCAAGCTGTTCATGGAGGCGTGTGAGGCTGTCAAGGAAGAGAATGAGAAAGAGCAACGATTTCTGGCCGAAGGAATGGCGTACCGAAAGAAGTCTTCTGAGGCAATCTGCGGCGAGATCAATGCAAGACCACTCGCACAGGCACACGATATCAAGATTGTTGCACGCAGTGTTCGCAATGCTATTCAAGAGAATCGTGTGCAATTGAAGAAGTGTGGAGAGCCAGGAAAGCTAGATGCTGAGTATTTTCGAGCTCTCTGTGATGCTGTAAAGTCGTACAGTCTCCTTTCCGTGGAGGATGGAAAGCAAGTGACAAACCTGCGGCCAAAGCTCTCCAAGATGACGAATGCTTGTGTGAACAAGCTTGAGGGTCAAGGCAGCCGACAGGGAAGAAAGCTCTTTGAGCGGGTGGAAGCTGTACTTGCTGGAGAGCTTGACGTTGGCAAGCCAAACCGAATTGAGCAACGGCGCCAGCAGTATGCTACTTATGCAAATATTAATCAGTGGTACACTGGCTTCAAAGAGTTTCTGATTGACAAAGGATTTGCTACAGCAGCTCCGGGTGGGGAAGAAGGCGAGCTTGTGTTTGTCAGCAGTGACCAAGGCAGCCGCATTGCCAATCTAGATGAGTCTGCTCTTACTCTTGATGATACTGAGAACGGAAAGGGAGGGAGACCTGCCTTGGGATTCTATAATCCTCGCACATCAGCTGCTCCATCTCATGGTGCACACAAAAGTTCTTGGAAATGCACTCTTGTTGCCGGTTGCTTTGCGTCTGGTGAGCCCTTTCCTCCACACTTCCAGCTTCCAACAGACGCAAGAAAGGATCCAGACAATGAAGGTATATACAGTGAATTCATTGTGGATATGTTGGAAATCGTGGCTTCCTATTGCGGTGATGAAGATTCCACTTGGACGGCTACATACAATGTCAATGAGAAGGGAAGCATGACCAAAGAAGAGTTCGGACAATACGTCTTGAAAAACTTCCTCACTCTTGTGGCCAACGACTGTGCTGATATCCCAGGCAAAAGGGTCGTGTTGTTGGTCGACGGAGGCCCAGGTCGAACAAATGAAGACATGTTGGCCCAGATGAGAATGCATGGAGTGTATTTGTTTCCCTCTGGCCCTCCCAATACGACGCATATCACTCAAGTGAGTGTATATGAGTCAAACAAACTATGCTGTAACGTGAACTGATTATCAAGTCTGTGACGTTTTAACTATCTATCTCACAAACGATGTTGGTTCTCTTTCCATCCACTTCAGATTCTTGACATGATCTTTGGCTTGCTGAAAACAAGATACTTTGAAAATCTTGAGAGGCTCTGGGAATACCGACAAAACAACATCAACGCCGCCTCATCCATTACACGAAATGATATTGGATTGCTGTTCTTTGGTAGTGAACACAGTCGGAAACGAGAGGCAGATCCAAGCTTTCCTCTGCTCAAGAACAGCTTCCAGGAAGCTTTTGCCATTGTTAGAGTTCGCAAGTTTTGGAGCCAAAAACTGGGTGTCTATCCATACTATACGAGAGCGGCGTTGAAGAGCAAACATGTCCGCCATGAGGTTGTTGTTACGGCTGGATTGGCCGATACCGATGTGGATCCGGAAGCCCAACATCTCCGTGATTTGAATTCTCTTAACCGAAAATCCTGTGACATCCTTGATGCTGGAGGGTACAATGGATCCCTCTTCCGAATGCAACTGAGCGAATTCAGCACTGAAAAGAGGCAGAAAGTCCTCACGAGACCTCGCACTCGAGCCCGGCAGGATGCCTTTGAAGAAGAAAAGGTTGGCGGTGGCAAGTTCTTCCTCAGAACTGGTGGAGCTGCTCTGAATGATGATGATATGTTTGTTGCCATCACGAGAAGGAAGCTGAAGCAGCAACTCAAGGAGGCGGAAGCCTCAAAGCAACAGAGGCAGGAAGCAGCTCAAAGACAGTTGATTGCTCTCCAAATCCTTGAACAGGAAACGGTGGCAAAGATCGAGGATTACACCAACCCACAGCTGAGGCATCTCATCTGTTGGAAGCTTGACCAGAAGACTCTGCCTGGTGCTCTCAAGAACAAACCAGAAAAAGTATCCAAGTGGAGAGAGCTCAAGACTAAGAATCCTCCAGAGTTTGTGCCTTGGACTGATGCCGATGAAGAGACTCTCGTAGAGCTGAAGAAGAAGATTGATGGTGACATTGCACTCGATGACACAGACTATGGACGTCAAAGGGCCGTTGAGGTTGACAGAGCCAAGAGCCTCGTCCGTGGGCTATCCAATGCGGACAAGGAAGCTTTTCTGAAGAGTCTTCAAGAGGATAATGCAGCTCCGGCTGACAGCAGTGACAGCGGTGACAGCGACTGACTTGGAGGGACACCGAGACAGCACCATTATCTCCTTATCAGACACTTGTCGCTGTCAATGCATCGACTAAAAAACCAGTCAGAGCCTCACTGTTGATGGTATCAACTTTGCCGACAAGAGCTGACAAGCAGGGTAGCTTGTAAGTGCATCTATCATGGTATTAGGTGATGTTAGTTTGCTGCCAGATGTCTTTTTCCGATTCTTGACCTCTCCATTCAAATTTTTGCAGGTAAACCTGAGGGTTAAGATTCGGTCGAAAAAATTGGGGTAAAATCTGTACTAGTCTAATCCACTCCATCGCTCCAGCAAGCCAGCCATCTTTTTACCATGGTACCGGTACCAAGTATTATTAGACTAGTATGACTTTCCTGGTAACGACGGTAAACTTAGAGCAGTCACTAAAAAATAGGTCGCACCCAATATTGGTCGATTGGTTTTTAGCTGGAACCCAAATCGAAACCTATTCAGTCACTAACTCATTTCGGTCGAGGTTTAGGTTGCGACCG